TTACTTTTAAATCGAATAACTTGTAGACATGTTACATGTTATTTTTGTGTAACTAATAGCATTGATGCATGTCATCCTTGAGAAAATAAAAACAAAATTACACTCCTTTTATTCTAATTTTTAGCATATCTAATTGTAGATAATGTAAAAAAAAGTTATAGATATATTGTGTAGTTATTATTTTAAAAGAAAGTAATCATCAATAAGGGTAAAAAAGTTATAGAAGTTATAGATAGAAGTTAAAAGAGAATACTAACCTGGAAGCTATGGATGGGAAAACATAAGATCAAAGGTACTAATGGCGTTCATCGATCAAAACACAATATGGAAGACATTGATGTATATCATTGGCGATGAGTCATGGAACCAGGATTCAAGCGGATAAGTCAATTTTAACAGCGTGTTTTGACTTTTTTTATTAGGAGAAAAAATATGTTTTGTTTCTTGCTTGAAAGTATAGGGAGTGATGCTGTCATAAGAATTATGGACAACCCAGTTAGATACGATAATTGTGTGATTTGGTGATAGCGTTGAATATAAATTTTGGTGAGAGAAAAAAAAGCACTATCTTACAAAGCGTTGGATTGGGACTCATAATAGAGTGAGAATGAATTTGGTTTATATTTTTTTTTGAAAATAACATACTTAACAACGGCTATTTGTGTGATTATTATTTTGAAAGAAAGTAACCACCGTATGGTTATTATTTTGAAAGAAAGTAACCACCGTACAATTATTATTTTGAAAGAAAGTAAACACCTTACGGTTATTATTTTGAAAGAAAGTAACCATCAATATCAATAATAATAAGGAGTAAAATTGTATAAAAGAAAGTGGAGACAAAATATTTATAAGTTTAAAAATATTTTTTTTGTAATTTTAAAACTATTAAAAATTAAATAAAATTCAAAATTCAAAATTAGGCATATTTTAAATTTGAATTTTTAATAAAATATGATTATATATTTAAAATTTTAAATCTATTAAGATAATAAGTTTAAAAATGAATTTTTATAATTTAAAAGGAAAAAAATGAATTTGGAAAATAGAGATATCTTAAATTTGAATTTTTAAAAAGTTGAATAAATTTAAATTTACTGTAAAAATAATGCAAAAAAAATCATGGTAAAAAATGACTAAATTTACATAATTTAATGTAGAATTTTTTTTAATGAGCATGAGAAAATAGAATTGAGAAAAGTGAATCAACCTGAAAAAACGTGGCTGAGGAATCTGAGTGAAAGTGAGAAACTCTCAATCCTTAGACGCAATTGCAAAACTACCAATTCTTGAAATCCTTCCCATGTTGTTAGCCCATCTATTCGTTCTCATTTTATGTCAAAACCAACGAACAATGATAGTCGTAATGTATATAATTGGTGAAATGTTTATTGTGGGCAATTTAAGTGGATTGAAAAATGAAAAAAAAAAAAGTAGAAAGGTTTGAAGGAAATAGGCCTAAGGGGATTGAATGGAAAACAAAGAGACAAAGATGATAACATGATATAATAGAGAGAATAAGAAGAATAAGAAAGGTGTGAGAGGTTTGTTGCGAGAAGAAAATAATGAAATAAAGTTGCTGGTGGGGAGGAAAAATTCCCTTTTTCTCGAATCTTGACTGCCATGAGAAAGGATACACATAAAATGGAGGATATATTATGCAGGGATATGAAGTCACTTTAACAAAAAAAAGAGGAAGCAAGAAAGAGAGGAATGTGAAAGTGCGAACAATGAGTGCAATTACTTTAGATAATATGCGGTTAAAAAAAATAAGAGTGAGTAGTTACTTAAATAAAATGACATAATTACTTGTATTAATTATTTAATATATAATATTATTAAGGGTAAAAAAGTCATAGTAAAAATGGAGACCAAATAGTAGTTATATCTATACCTATTATAAAGAGGATACAAAAATATACCTATTATAAAGAGGATACAAAAATATGTAACCATTTTTAGTCTCCACTTTTAGTGGACTATTATATCCCTTAATATAAAAAAATAAAAAAAAGAATATAATTTTTTTAAATAATTATAAACAACTTTTTAATATTAAGTCCGTATATAATTATTAGAGGCATTAAGTACACCTCGACCCTTCTAATTCATATAATGGTTTTGGTGGGACATAAATTGAAGATGGTGAATATGAAGGAAAGCCAAATCCATTTGTACTATTATAAAGAGGATACAAAAATATGTAACTGTTTTTAGTCTCCATTTTTAGTGGACTATTATACCCCTCAATATAAAAAAATACAAAAAAAATTTATATTTTCTTTGAATAATTACAAATAACCTTTTAATATTGTGTCCGTATATAATTTGGGAGGAACGCGAAGGAGGATGTTAAGGCGGTGCAGATCAAGCGCAGAACCGCTAAGGAAGGTTTAGGGTTTGTTGGTGATGCTCCTGCTGCGCTTGTTCGGAGCAACATTGACAAGGACAGCAAGAACAGGGAAAACAAGAACAAGGAAAAGAATGAGGACAAAGAAAAGAGTGAAAAGGAGAAGGTTGTTAGGATTGTTGGGGGAAGAGATGCCGGGTTGAAGGGTAGTGTTGTTTCTAGCATTGGGGATGGTTATCTTGTTTTGAGGCTTTCCGGGAGTGGACAGAAGGTGAAGGTGAAGGTGGGTGATGTTGCTGAATTGGGTTCTAGGGAGGAAGAGAGGTGCTTGAGGAAATTGAAGGACTCTAAGATTCGGCGCGAGGAGAAGAGACAGGATGTTGGTAGGAGAGAGGAGAGGAGAGTGGTGGATCATAGGAAGGTTTCTTGGCTTACTAGTCACATTCGGGTTAGGGTGATTAGTCGTGATTTGAAAGGGGGGCGGTTGTATTTGAAGAAGGGGGAGGTTCTTGATGTTGTTGGGCCTACGACTTGTGATATATCTATGGATGAGAGCAGGGAGATAGTTCAAGGGGTGTCCCAAGATGTTCTTGAGACGGCAATTCCGAGATGTGGGGGGCCGGTGCTTGTGTTGGCTGGTAAATACAAGGGTGTGTATGGGAGTTTGGTGGAGAGGGATTTGGACAGGGAAAGTGCTGTTGTTAGGGATGCTGATACCCATGAGATGTTCAATGTGAAACTTGAACAGATTGCAGAGTATATAGGGGACCCGAGTTTATTGGGACATTGATTTGGTTGCATCGACTGGACTTCCATTTGGGGCGACAGATTTGCAAGTATGCATATTGGGAATGTCGGTTTTCTTTTTCTTTAATACTCCCAAGATAATTTAAGGACGAACATCCATTTAAAAGTTAAAACTTAAACTTTTATTTTGAAGGGGGGTGTCTTTCATTTCATATATTGATTGAATTATTGCCAGATGCATAAAAGTTAGTTTTGTTTACATTGAAATACTAGGCTTGACATCTTCTTGTATTTTAGACAAGCTTTTGTTGTATTGTATTTTAAATTTTTAACAAGAAGAAACAGATAATAAAAAAAGGAGAATAAAATAAGATGCTAAATCAGGAATTGATGATCAGGATCCTGGGGGGAAAACAACTGCAATAGCAATACTTATGAACGATGAAGGAGGGATCATTGCAATAGATAGATCTTATAATAAGGTGGGAATCCTGAACTCTAG